TGTGTTTAGGAGATCATTCCAGATTCAGGTGGGTCCTAAGCCTAAACCTGAGTGGTGTCTTATAAAAGGAGAAGACAGACACAGAGATACACACACAGGGTGCAGACAGATGCCATGCAATGACAAAGGCAGATGCATTACAAGCAGCAAAGGAATGCCAGGGATTGAGGCAGCCACTTGAGACCACCCTCGAATGCATTTACTGACTTATTCAATTTATTCATTCATCAGATAGTTACTGGGCCTTTAAAACATTGAGTGACCAGTGCAAAATGCTATGAGGCAGGTAAGAAGCTCTGAACTGAGTCCCCCACTTGCTTGCAGATGCGAATCCTTCCACCGGAAGCACCCTCTCCCTTCTGCTTAGCCAGCTCTTCCTCACCTTCTGAGATTCCAGCAAGTGCAGGAGACTCAGGGAAGGCTTCTCAGAGAAAGAAAGCCCTGGAACCCCCCCCATTCAGCTCCCTCAGCCCTGTCCTATGCCCCCCACTTTGACCCTACCAGGTGGGGACCAGGACCAGGGCTGAGTCCCCAGAGCCAGAAACAGTACCTGGCACACAGTAGATGCTCAATTAATACTTGAGTAAATACATGAATTCACAAAGTACTTGCTGTTCACAGCATCAAACCCCAAAGTGAATTAAGGGGGCAATACAGACCCCCAGAAATGGAGAAACAAGAGGCCGATGTAAGGTCTGTTCAGGGGGTCAGCCATGTGTCAGTGACAGCGTGTGCACATGACACCTTGCATTTGCATAGGATCACATGTGTATTTGAGGGAGTGTGCTTGTGTTACCAGGGCATGCAAGTGTGTGTACATGGATGTGTGCGTGCAGGGGAATGGGGGGTGACCATGTGTGGGACTTGCTGGTATTTGTGAGCTCAGGTATGTGTGGGCTTGTGGAAGCTGTGTTAGGTAGAAATACACACACGCACGAGTTTTGTGTGTGTGTTATGCAGTTATATGGCTCGCATGTTTGTTTACATACATATGTTATTATGGATTGAATTATGTCCCCAAAAAGATATGTTGAAGTCCTAACCCTGGTACCTGTGAACATGATCTTGTTTGGAAACAGGGTCTTTGAAGATGTTATCAGTTAAGTTAACATGAGTGGGGTGGGTCCTAATCCCATGAGTGGTGCCCTTATAAAAGACGAGAAGCGACAGACACAGAGAGACAGACAGAGGAAGGGCGCCATATGAAGAGGCATCTACAAGCCAAGGAATGCCAAGGATTGCTGGCTGTTACTAGAAGCCAGGAGAGAAGCATGGATTCTGCCTCAGAGCCTCAGGAGGAATTAACACAGCTGACACACTGACTCCCAGCCTGCAGAACTATGAGAAAACAAATTTCTGTTCTTATAAGCCACCCCTTGTGGTGCTTCGTT